ATACAAAACAACTGATCAATAAAATGAATAATTAAATAATTACTTAGTAACAATTCAAAGTTTTAAGAGAAAATTCAAGTAAAAAAAAAGTATACAAGTGGTTTAAAACAATAGAAAAAAAAAACAATAAAAAATGCCAAAGCAAGAAAAATAAAGTCAAACTTTAGTATATAGATTCCAAATAAAAATGCTTTAGAGACCAGTTTAACAAAATTATTTGAAGATAAAAGGAAAAAATAAGTTGTACTAAAACTTCTAAAAGAAAAAAGAAAAGAAAATTTAGTAATTAGAAAAACTCTTATAAATGTATATAAAAAAATTCTTACAGAGCATTAAAATATAGAACATAAGGAAAATGACTCAAGACCAGTACTAAAGAAATTAAAGGTTGCAAGATAAATAAAAAAAAAAGTTAAATAGATACAAAAAATAAAATAACAAAACAAAGATACTAAAAGTATTAACAAATTTTATAAAAAGAAAAAAAAAAGATTTGAAATTAGAAATCAAAAAAAAAATAATTAATATAAAGAAAAATTATAAATATGAGAAATCAATGATAAAAAGAAGTCAAGTTGAAAAGATAATGGTTCTTATATGAGAAGAAATACTAATCCAAAAGCAAAATATAAGTAATGAGTTAAAAGAAGAGCAAAATAATAAATTATATAAAAATCAAATAGAAGATCATACAAGTTTGTTCTTTTATACAGACAGATTACTCAAAAGATTAAGTTTAAAAGAAAGAAATAGAATCAACAGAATAGGTGCTGATTGGATGCAAGTAGATAAGTAAGAGAAGATAAAAATTGATAAAGGTTATTTTAGTATTCAAAACTGATCATTATCAACTAAACCAAAACTTCTAGCAATCTGAGAAGTGCTTTTAATTATATCTAAAAATAGTAAAGTCAAAATATATATAGATAGTATAGCAGCAATATCAAAAATAAATAAAGAACTAAAAATTAAGATTGACAAGTAATAGTTTAGAGAAAAAACTATAATGTAAAAAGAAATATAATAGAAATTCTAAGGTTAAAGAATTATAACTAGAATTAATTAAAATTAAAAAGCATAGTAATAATAGATAAAACAATTTAGTTAATAGTTTAACAAAATTAGATAGTTTAGAAAATATAAATAAAATAGTTAAAGAAACACTACAAAATATAAATATTTTAATGTATTAAGAAGATAATACAATAGAAGGTCCAATAAGACAATTTTTGAAAAATGTTCTTAATCTAAAAATAAGTGCAAAATAAAGATTATTATTAGTTATAAAAAGGCTAAAACTAAATAATAAGACAGAAAAATACAATTGGTTACTTTTGTAAAAAAAAGTTAAAGATCAAAATAAGATAAAATATATAAGTATAAAGAAGAATAAACAATTAGAACATTAATCAAGTATTTAAGTGAAAGACTATATTTACTAAAAATACTAACAGAATAACATTTAGATTTTTATATAAGTTAATGTTATATTTTATGTAATAAAAAAAAGAAGAAGGCTAAGAGTATTTAGCAATATATAGCAATTATAAAAAAGACTAACAAAATATAAAAGAAACCTCAATTAATCTAGTATAATTAGCATTAATAAAAGAATTATGAAAGAGTATAAATAAAAAAAAAACTTAAAAAAATTATTTAAGAAAGAACCAAAGATAAAAACAAAGAGCAAATACAAAATGATCAAGAGATTAATTCATAAAAAAATTATTAAAACTATTTAAAAACTTATACAAATTTTGACAAAAACAAAAGACTTTTAATACATATTAGTGAATACAACATAGAATAATTTCTAATAGAACATATAGAAGAAATTATGTGAAACAGTTATTGTTTGAAAAAAAGAACTAGAAATAGATCTAAAAAAAAGAAAACATGTAAAAAGCAACTATTTGAAACTATAAATACATTAAAAAAGATAAGAGCAATAAATTTAAACAAAAAAATCTAGTCCAAATTAAAGAAAAAGTATAAAAAAAAAAGAAGAATAGTAATAGAATACAAGAGTTATGACTAGAATTAGTTAAATAAATAATATAGAAAGGTTACATGTGTAGCCAATTGTATGCTTTTCTGTAGTAGTTCATTAAATCATATTATTAAAAAAAGCATTAATAAAAAATCAAAAGACCAAAGAGGTTACCTTAACACCAAAAAAAAATTTAATTATATATTAGTTAAAATTATTATGCAATATTATTGAAAAAATTTAAATTTAAAATTACATTATATTTCAAGCCTTAAAACATAATTGATCTTTAAAGTAATACTTAGTCTATTATATAAATTATAGTTTGCAACTTTATCTTTATTTAAAAATTGGTAACTAAATATTTTTAACACTGTCACGACCGTTTTTACAACATGTATAAAGCAGGTATATTAAATTAAAAATTACTTTAAAAATTAGTATATTTTAAAACTGCAAATATAATAACTTCAAATTTAAATTTATATAATAATATTGTATAATAATTTTGACTGTTATGTAACTGATTTTTAGAGTAATACTAGAACAGTTTTAAAATGTAACTATATAAAAAGAATTTTATTATTAAGAAGATCTATAAATATAAATTAATATGTAATAGTGATTATAAGCATTTTGTAACTATATAGAAAGATTTTAATAATTAAAAAAATAGTAACTTAAAATTGTGTAATTATATAAAGTTTTGTGATTATTTAGAAGGTAATTATATAAAAGAATAACTATATATACCATTTTTACAAATAAAATTTAAAATTAGTTTATAAGCAATAAAGTAGAAATAAGATTTAAAAAAAAATCAACATAAAAAATAATATACAACATAAATAGATAAATAAAATAATAATTTAATTATATAAAAAGCAAAATACAAAACTTATTGTAAAATGCTAAAGATTTCTATTTATATAAGACAATTCCAACTTGATTTTTCATAAAATGAAAATTTTTCATTATTTATATTAATAACTTCCTACTATAATTTCTAAGTTCCAATTAGAAAAAAACACTTCTAAAAAAATTATATTACAAAGTTATCAATCAAAACTACCAAAATAAGATTCAACAAACTGTTACAAAAAATTAGGTCATGTCTAATTGTAACATGTTACTTGTAACAACTTAGTTAAGTTTATTAAGAATTATATTATAAAAAGTAATATGCATCTAATGAAATGTTTTTACATAACTGAAATATTTGACTTTTGAAATGAAGTGTCTTAAATGAATAAGAAGTTATTTCAAAATTAAGCAAATGACTATGACCCAATGATTTTAAATGATCTAAAATGACTTGAGTCAATTGGTCATTTAGTTGGTCATTTGTAACTTAACCACAAATATATATGAGTGCTACCAAGAGAAATCTAGAGTTTGCGCTTCGAGTTTATAACTTAACAGACTCAACCAATATGATTTTTCATAAGTTATAAACTCAAGACCAAAGTCCAGTTTTCCATCGGCGACACTTGAATGCCATCGTTTGGAGATTGCATAAATAATTGGTTCGAAAAATTGATTGTTATATTAAATATGGCTTATAGAATAGTCTAATTGGCCAAAAAAATAATTCGTGATAATCATTTAAGTTAAAATCACAGGTAAATCAACTCGTTTCACGAGATAGATAAACTACTATATATTATATTTTAAACCAACAGATTATACTGTATTTTTTTTTTAAAAAAAAACAATCAACAAATAGATGATTTGTATATTTCAAATGGCTATATGTGGATCATTTTATTCCATAATTTTTATCATTTTGTGCAGCAAAATTTGTCGGATCTCACTATGGTACGTTTTAACTGACGATGTCCCATATTTATACATGTGCCTAAACTTAATTTAGGCCAATCGATATATAGTACATGGGCATACAACTATTACGATGTAGTACAAGCTACTCCTACATTTTGTTAAACTTCTTTCTACGAACTGAACTCAAAGGACGACTTTTATATGATTGGCTGTTTAAGTTTACTTAATTTACAAAATGAAAAAATACATGCGTTATCAAAGTTGTAAAACTTCATTATTAAAAATAATGATAATAATCTATTGTCAAGTTGCTATTGAGCTAATTTCTCTAAACAAGAAGGGATTTTGATCATTTTCAATTATGAAATCCTATGACCCTAATAAAACTTTATATGTACTTTTTTTATTTATTCTCTTTGTAGTTTTATTTTTTTAAAAAATTACTTCATGCTTATAAATAATGTAAAATTAACAGCCAATCATATAAAAATTGTCCTATGAGAACTGAACGAATACTTCCAAAAATAGCAATGATTCGCCTTCATCCAAGGTGGCGAATGTGACTTCGAGTACACGCATGTACAGTCACAAAGTTTAACACGGTTACACGAAAAACATAATAAAAAAAACAAAAATTTATGCAAATCAATGATGTTAATATATTGCGCAAATTAATATAAGATTACAGTATTAAGGCATAATGATTATACAACATATATCGAATAACTTCACTAATTCGATTTGGCATACTATTAATTAAATTCATAAAAATTGATGTTTTTTGTGTAACCGTGTTAAACTTTGTGAGGCGACAAAGGCTGATCGACCGACTAGGAAGACATTATGTGATTGGCTAATTTGCATTGATTCGAACATGCGCGTTATTTCAGGACGCGCATGGGCGCCATTTTGAAGCTCTGCATATTAGTTTTAGGTTGTCGATCTTCGGAATAACGCTCATGGAGTTATCACGCGAAAATATCGTACTTTAATTCTACATGCTGTCCATTACGTGTCGATAAGGCTAATGCTAGTCGTGCTATGCATATAAATAATGTGTGTTTGTGTCGGAATACTTCCTTAAAAAATCGAGGCTATTGTGGAACACAGAATGAGAAGAATATCGTTAGAATTCTAAACAAAACAAAAGCAGCTTTATAAAGGAACAAATTTAAATTTATTTTTCTGAATAATAGTTTTTTAATCGAGATTTTTGAATCAACAAAAATTAGTTTTCCAACATATTTGAAATTTCTGTAACATTTCCAGTTGCTATAATTCGTTTTATTCCCTCACAATTCCGCAAACTATCAAAATTAGAATGAATAAAATTTAAAACTTTGCTTCTCAACCAAATATTTTCGGTCTGATAAGCCATCATAAACACATCACCAAAATTTTCACTATTTATCATTCCAGCAACCCTTAGTGCTACAGCTTTAACCAGATCCACCATATCACGCATGTCAGCTTCATAATATAGTCCTTTCAATGTATTAAAAGACAAGCTCTCTTGGAGCTTGCTAGTGTACAAAAAATAAAACATGGCATGAAAACATTCAAAGCTTGCATCTTTGACGGGAATAGTAGAAGATGTAGTTTCTATCCAACGACCAGTGAACATAGCTTTGTAAAAGGGAGAACGGAGTGTAAGGACAAGTCGAGAAGCATAAAGCTTTGAACCACAATCAAAAGTGAAAGTAATATCACTGAAAGCTTCATTGTTAAAATAATCTTCCAGAGATTGTGATAACAATGACATGGGGTGAATTACAGGTGTATTGTCAAGAGGATCAAGGAAGTGAATGCGAATCAGTAAATCAGTTTTCTCAGAAATAATACCATTAGGAAATATAACGTTTAATTCACAAAATTCGGACCAACCCCAGTTAGGATTTCTAGAAGATAGTTGAAATTCATGTTCAGCAACTTTTTCAGCACATTTTTTTATATTTTTTGCGTCAATTATGCGGAACATTTCGAACTTCCACTTTGTAGTTCTAGCTTGCAATCCATGGGTTTGTTCGAACTTTGTCTTATTTGCTTCCAGAAATAAAGATATATAAGATTGTTTTTGACTCTGATGACTTTTGAGATAGATACGCCAGCGATGAATAGGTTGTGATTTACCAGAAATCTTTTTAATGCTATCGGGAGGAGGTAAGACGAAAAGCCCGCTTCTTGTAGAATATGAATTATTATATATTTCGTGGAAATCCCTCAAAGTCCAATCAAATACGACAGGGTACAACAGATAAGGACTGTAAAGCCGTGTAGGACTGGAATTATCAGAGGGTAATGAATCTGCAAACTTTTTGATGAGTCGAATTATTATCGCAATACCAGGAAGTTTAAATAAAATCATAAACAATCTTTTGAAAGATCTAATTATAATTTTGGAAAAAGTGATTATTGAAAAAAAGGAAGTTATAAAATTAAAGAATTTGAACAATAAACATAGACATTTTAATAAAAATTCTTTTATTTCCAAAACATCGTAAAACTTCATCTTAGAGAAATTCCAAAGAGAATAACTATTTGTAATGTGAGTGAAAAGTTAAATTTATAGAAATCTCATGCGTCAAATGCATCAAATGCATGTGATATCACATGCAGATCATTACGCATGATCCCGCAAGAATATCGGTATTTATTTGTAAATGCACATTGTCCGATATTTAAGTCTTAAAGCGTTGGGTAAATGAAAAGATCGTTTTAATTGTAAAAATATAATGAGAAAAAACTTATATTAAAGAAGAAATAATCATTTAGAATCGTCTTCATTTTATATTAGTGTGAATTTATCAGATCTTGATATTTCTCATCTATCGATTAATCCATCAATTTATCACCAAATTAGTTCTTTTATTCGTTCTATTAAGGCAAAGATGGCCTTATTGTGATTTTCTCAAGAAGTCGCCAGAAAAATACCGAAATATTGAAATACATGTCACATGTGCAAAAATTTTTAATATGATGGCTTTTTTAAAAAATAAAATTTAGTGTTACAAACAGAAAGGGACTATCACTTCTTTGTCGTCTTTGAATGCAATTGTTTTTTTAATTGTTTTCTTTCAATGCGTTGTCATTAGCTTATTTTATCTTTTATAAATCCACATTTGTTAAAAATGTAACACCATCTAGAATAGTGCATAGTTTACAATAATCGTTACTGGAAAATAGACAACTGTCTTCAGTAGAATATCTGGTGAATTTTTGGTGCACACCAGTTCTTCGACAAGACTGAGCGCCAATGAAAAATTTTCCCGAAATGAGTATCGTCAATATGACATGTGGGTAAAGAAGTTAACCTGTTATTTCATAAATCCTGAAATAATTTTAAAAAATTACATCAATTCGATCGAATATTCATTAGTTAATATTTTCATTTTCCCAAGATTTATAAAAAAAAGATACACAGGACTTTGACTTAGACCGGACAACCTTGAGCTTGGAAGGTGGTATTCACATTAGAGATTAGGTCGTTGTACAATTGTGATATGTTCAAATTTGTACATTAAATGCATGTACAGCTGCAAGTTGATTTTGAACTCTGATAAAGGCTCGACTTTTGTAAAAATTTTTATATTTGCATACGGAGTATCGGTATTAAATTATTTGCAGATACATATATTTGAGTGTCTGTGTTTAAGCCTACTAAATATCGTATATACTAGAGATGTATTATTTATTATTTTCAATTATTTCCTTTAATTTTCTTATGTAATAATAAATAAATAATTGTGATATAAACAAAACCGCAGCTTGTTGAACTTAAAATCTACATTCTAGATTACATTTGCAAAACGAAATAAATATAATCATTTGTCAAGGTAATCATTAGTAATAATATGGGCTAGGTACTGGAAAAAGGAACGAAATTGACAATTGTTTCAAATGAACGTTTTTTATATAAAATCAATTTAGAATAAGTTAGAATCATTTTGTATTTAAGAAATAAAGTAGTTGTAATAATAAAATTTTGCAGTATAGCTCTTTAAAGTTTTCACTTTCTTATGATTTATTACAAGATTTATAACATAAAAATTGAAATTTTTTTTTGTCCTTTTCTCAGCACCTAGCCCATAGGTATTTGTAAAATACTATGATTAATTATTACTTATATTATTTATTACTTTGCCTATCTATTAATTTTGAAAGGCTTTGAAGATGATTAGTGACAGGCTAATTTGATTGTGATATAATAGAACCGATTACTTTTAACTCTGCTTAAATTTGCAGTTCATTTTGTCAGATTAGAAACATAAACCTTTGAAATTGGCAAATTTGACCGTAATCATTTCTAAATCAAAATAATCATTTTTTATTATTAATAATTAATTCTAAACATTAATCTAATTTCTTAAAAAAAATAAACCAATTTTTGACATTAGTTTATTTGTATTGTTTACTTGTTATTTATCGGCATTTGTGATTTTTTTTTAGTATTAAGGCTGATGTTTATGGTGATATTATTTTTATTATATTTTAATTATATATTACATATAATTTATACAAGGATGAGCATATAACTAGTCACATGCAACCTTTGATTGCCTATTTAAAGGTAGAGTACATATAGATCACTTGTTATATGATTTTAATTATAAATTTTTTTATTTAGGTATTTAAAATAATTTTATTAACTTAACTATTTTTAGACCTTTAAGTAAGTTATAAAGCAGATTTTTATAATTCTAATAATAGTAGAATAATTAAATTCAAATTAAAATTTGTTGAAATAGGTTTATTTTATTTTTATTTTTTAAATATTAAGGTAAGTACTTGTAACTCAGAATTTTATTAATAGCATATTCAGCTAATGGTTGCATTACAACCACAAGAGGCAATTATAAAAAAGTATACAACTAGTTACTTGTACAATTTTATTTATTATCTAATTTAAGTAATCTGTTTAAAGGTTTTATACTAGTTGTCATATTTGAAACCTGCTTAAAAATTTCTTATTTAAATATTCTAGTTTTTATATCCATCTATTTATCTATATCTATTAATGATCCTAATTAATATTAGTAAAAATATATTATGTTTACTAAGTTTTTAAAACAGTTCACTCATATAAAAAATCTTTAATCTTATATTAAACCTTTTAGAATCTTTTATATTCTATTCTTATAACTAACTTAGTAATATTATGCTTAAAACTAATATTTGCAGTTAGGATATACTATTAAATTACTATGTTCTTGTAAAATTTATCTCAATTCTAATACTTATATCACAACATATCTCTACTATTTTGGTATTCAATTCAAGTTTTATTAAACTCCTAGTTCAGATAGTTCAAAAAAATAGATATAATTATATTTTTGGTTTATATATTTTTTAATATGTAATCTTTTCTTTAAAATAAATTCTGATAATCTGATTGGTTACAATAGTCTTTTTTTAAAGACTGACTTGTTTTTAGCTAGTTTTACAAATTCTAATCTGTTTTATAAGACTAGTTTTTACAATAACACTATTAAAAATTTGGGCATCTCTTTATATAAGTTTTTTAAGTAGGTTTTTATCTTTCTGGTTTCTGTAATCTATATAATTACAAGAATTTATTATAACTTTATACTGTCTAATACTAGTTTATGCTTTTTTGTACAAGGTACAACTATTGTATAAATGTTATATAACCTTATAATTGTGCTAATATAATATAAGTAACAGATATTTTATTTCAATTAATAATAGAAGATAGTTAATTATAATACAGAAAAAATTTTAAATTTTCATTAATATTAGGATTTAAACTTTAGCTCTGTTACTGAAGATTGATAATATAACCACTTTAATATATTATTATGATCTTTAAAATAGATTTAAAGATTAAATATTATAAATTTATTATAAAAATTATATAATAATTATATAATAATTAATTAATTAAAATGCTATTATTAAAATTTTAAATTTTTTTTTTGATATTAAGATGAGGCCTTGCTTATATCTTTATTAATAATTTAAAATAGTTATATATATATATGCTATGATTGAGGCTAACACTTGTAGTCAAAGCTACAGTTGTTAGGTGAAACCTCTAGGTTTCGCCACTGGCAAAAGGCGAAACCTAGTTTCGACTTTTGCCAAAAAAAAATCAAAAAGATGAAATGGTGAAACTGGTGAAACCTAGCAAAACTGGCAAAACTTAGCGAAATTGGCGAAACCTGGTGAAACTAGCGAACTCTGGTGAAACTGGTGAAAACATAGCACAACAAAATTGTTCTAGAGATTTGACCTTAAAATTTCTGGTCTGGCTCCAATAAAATCATAAGATCTCATATAACAAAACAAATAGCAAAAAATAAAAATTCTTAAATAGAACCAAATTTTATTATGCTAATCAACTTCCAGCTTCTAATTAAAAATGCTTAACATTAAAATTTACATATAGCACTTACTCTTTTTCATCAGATATAGATAGAATACTTGAGATACTCCAATTCATGTATTTGATCGGAAAGGTTCGATTTTCACTTGACATAAGGATACCTGGCAGATTCTCGATTTATTGGCTAAAAGTGACGATAAAAAAATTTGGTTGGAATTACTCAAAATTTTACTAATGAAAGCACAGCCGCTCATTAAATGAAAATTGATTGTAGACTAATTTTACTATTTTGTGGGTTTATTTTTTTGAAAATTTCTTTTTGAGAATAAAAAGGTTAAAAAACTTAATTCTAGCCAGAAATTAGTAAACAGTTATGTAATGAGAGCCAAATTTTACAGATCCACACTGTTAGCCAATCAAAATCGAGGATCTGAGTGGACGACAATGTGATCTTGTTGTAAAAATAGGTTCGCAATTTAGTTTAAGGTTAGGGTCCCACCAGTGGGTTGATGTTTGTTTAAAGTATTATAATTATAGTAAAATTTCTCAAGGAAAATTTTTTGTTAATATGCAGAAGGTACTTTCATAGGCAAAATATTGAGCTATGAGCATTTTTTTTGTTGTTTTTGTTTTTTTGCAATTTTTTGCATTACACGAAATCTTAAAATCTGATTGACCAGCGAAATTTTTGGCTACCTACACATTCAAGAATTAATTCAATTATGGCATTATAGCATTCAGCAATATGACATTACAGCAAATAATATTAAAACTAGCTAGAGCATCAGAAAATGATTTTTAATCATAATAATATTAATGAACTACTTACATATATATGTTTTTTAATGAAATGTTAAAGAGAAAAAAACAACAATTTAATAAATTTAAATTAAAACTTTTATGTTTATTTACATGAATAATATTAATACATAGATAAGTGATTCTAAAAGAAAATATTTAAGCTTTAAATTTCAAGGCTGAGTATATTTGATTATAAATTCTAAAACCCATATTCTAGCTTT